AAGGTGGGTGCGAAATCTATAGGTGTCACAAAACCTAGCATATGAATAGTGAGTTACACCTTGGTTAGCTTAGGAATGGATTGCAGTTATGACCAGAGGGTTTAAAATGGGTATCCTCATAGTTGGGATTAGTGAATGTGGCCAATCAAAATTTATTGGCTAAGCTTAGCCGATAAATTTTGGTCAGCTTAGTCGGCTTAGCCGATTTCCTAATCGGGTCTCAATCACATGACCAGATATGTTTATTTATATAGCAAATACTTAGATTATCGAACTTTAATTTATTTGGATCAGTCCCATGGGTCCGTGAATACAATATAAATAGCCACCAAATTTAAAGAGAAATACAGTGAATAATTAATTGAGTAATGTTCGTTTTAACTTCTAAGAATTCTAAGAAAGAACAGGTACTCTTTTTTTTTTTTTTTTTTTTCTCGAGCTAATAAAATGTATTGTATTTTCTTTAAGGTTTTCTTTAAGGATCAACTTTTAGAGACTAGGATCAGACCGGACTAGTCTCACCATTTAACACCCTAAACACTAAACATTAAATTCTTAGCAATAGAGTCGCCCTGGGTTAAAAATACTTTAAATAATTGAAAAAACCGAAAATAAAAGTCGAAATTACAAGATCAGGTAAGATTTAATAAGCGTTTATTTAATAATTTTTTTTTTAACGTTCATCTAACTTTATTTTTTTTTGTATAAAAATGAATTCTCGTTACTTCTACCCACACTGTTAACAAATCTATCAAGGTAGCTTTTTTTTTATACTAGTTTAAATCAGGATAGGGATTAAAACAATTCTGGTTTTCTTTAAGAAAAAGTAGATCATGAACTGTGTTGGGAAGAAGACGATTTCGTTTATCATTTATGACGTTTCTGGCATCAGAGAAGAGACGCTCTGAGGGAACTGAGGTTCCCGGATTGCCAAATACCATCGTGCTTGTTGTGCTATTAAGGGAAGTGTTAATTTATTATCTCGCCAAAAGACTAAGGGGTTATGTTTTTTATAAAGAGGATCAGAAGGGTCGTATTTTATCATCTGGGGCATGTCTAAATACACCTTTAGTTTGTTTTCAATAGGGCAAACTTCTTGAAAAGTTTTTTCAAATAATGAATTTAATAAAGAAGATGATCTATTTTCAATTGAAGGTATTGTTGAGTTTATATTTTTTGCAGCTTCCATCCTGCATTTTAATTCATTTTTTATTGGTTCTAGTTTTTCTGGCTCAAAGCTTAGGTCTTTAAATCTTGGGTCGAGAATAGTAGCAATATAACCTTCAACTCCAGGCTCATCTCAATGGTTTCCAAATGAAAGCTCTATCTCATCATGTACATCACGAACAATTGGATGTTTAAGTATCGCTTCATTTTCAAATAGATGATCTTGTAATATTTTAATTAATAGTAACATCATTGAAAAGATAGGATATTGATCGCTACCCATTATGGTTGTAACATGCGCAAAGGGACCTAGCAACTTAACCAACTCTTGAATTCCTAATAAATCTTCTTCTTCAAAGAGCAACTCTTCTAATGCTTTAGCATTTTTTCTAATATTTCTATCTTTATCTTTTGCAAGATCTTTTTGTAGTTTTTTTATAGCTTCGTAAAGATAAAGTAGACGTTCTAACAATGAATGGGTTGAGTTCCATCTGGTCGCGGTATCATTGGATATTGGATCAAGAGCAGAAATATTTTTATTGTTAAGTAATGGATTTTTTTCTTTAAATATTTCAATTTGTATTAATCGTAGTCTTTCTCTAATTTTGTCTTTCCCAGCAACAAATGAATTTAGAGCTTTTGCACGGTCAATTAAGTCAGTAGCCTGTTTTAAACCATCTGTAATACCGAGTTGGATAGTATGAGCTGTACATTTTACATGTAAAATCTCAATATTTTTTAATGCTTTTACCATTGAACTGGTATTATCAGTTACACTGGCTACACATTTGTCACTTAAACCCCATTTAGCTAACTCTCTTAGTAAACAATCTTCAATTCGATCAGATGTATGTGGATATGGGAAACTTTCAATAGTGAGTATAGCTTTATGCATTTTAAATTCTGAAGAGAGCCAGTGGGCCATAATTCCAATATATGGTTTGTGGTCTTGAGTCCACAAGTCTGTAGTAAATGCAAAAGATTCTAACGTATTGTCAATTAAATTTCTTAAACTATTTTCGGTATAGTTTACTGCCTCATATATTTTTTGTTTAAATATATCTCTACCCGGAAATTGATATTGTAGCTCTGCTTCATATAAAAGATCATGAAATCGGTCATTTTTTAAAACATTGAAGGGTTGCATATCATCAATTATCCAAGCTAAGATTCGGGAGGTAATTCTGTTTTGTTTTTTTTCTGGCAATGGCATTCTACGACTAAATAATTCTGGCAGAGTAGATTGAGATAAATCTAATTAAACAGTTAGTGGTTGGGTTATTTCTTTAATACCACTTAGAGGTAATAAAGGCCCATTTTTATCTAATCTATGATTAGCTCAGAGATGAGATGCTAAATTTGTTGTACTGGTTGAGAGTTCAAAAGTACTTGGGCATTGTTGCTTTTTATCATTATCGCCAACCCATACTTGGCATATAACTTTTTTGTTAAGTTTGTCTTTTTTCATGTGTTTCTATACCCAACTTTTTCCTGGCTTAGACCTTTTTTTAGTATTAATATTGGGTAATTTACTAATTTTTCTTTTATTTTGATTAAACATATGTAAAATATTAGACGATTCTTCATTTAAAGAAGGTGCATTATTTAAAGAATATTCATTTTCTGATGAAAGTTCATTAGTCAGAAAAGATTCACTATCTAATGGCAAATGAAGCCCTTCATCTAGCGATAAAGATCTTCTTTCATCATCAAATGAGAATAATTCTTTATTTGAAATTAAATTCGATCCTTCGCCTAGTGATATATGTGGTTCATCTAAATACAAGTCTTCATCAGAAAAATTTTTTAAGAACATTTTGTAAAGTGGATTGATTATTAACGAATATTGAATTTGATTAAAGGTAACCGTTTTCTTTTTATATGTATTTGATTTAATATAAATTAATATTTATTTTTTGTAAATTATATGCCTTGCATAAGGTTGTTTGCTTGGCTTGAATGAGTCATTTAGGGCGTGAATTTACACTATATGAACCGTCTCCAAATAGTTACGTGGCTATATTTATTACATTTATAAATTGTTCTAATTTTTTTTTTCTCAATATTAATATTGTTTGTACTTTCTATAATTAAAATACATATGGATGACAATGAGATGATTCTTTTAAGATATTGATTTTGGGCTGTTAAGGCTAAATCAAGCTTTAGATAAATCTAATTTTATTAAAATTATCATATA